AGTTATTGGGAAAATGTCAGAGTCTATTATAAAATTATGTTATATAAGAGGATTTTGAAATACATAATATAATCAAGCAGAGTCAGTATGGCTTCCTGAAGGGGAAATCATGCATGTCAAATTTACGAGAATTCTTTGAGGAGGTATAAAGCAGGATAGGTAAAGAGAAAGCAGTAGACATAAACATGTGGATTTTCGGAATGTATTTGATAAAGTACAGATATTCGGCTACTTATTCAATAAGTGTCCATGGTATTGGAGGTAGAATATTAGTATGGATAGACAATTGGATATCTAGTAGAAGACTGACAGTTGAGATAAGGGATTTTCAGGATGGCAACCTGTAACTAATGGAGCATCACATGGATCAGTGATGAGCCCACATTTCATTGACTTTCTTCATCCAAGCCATTAATATAATGTCCTATGGCCAGGTTTGTGGAAGATATGGAAATAGGTGGAAAGGCAAATGTAGAATCATATAATCCCCTACAGTGTAGAAGCAGACCATTCGGCCTATCAAGTCCATACCAATGCTCTGAAGAGCATCGCACCCAGACCCTGCCCCCCCACCAACCTTATCCCTGTACCCTGCGTTTCTCATGGCTAATCTACCTAGTCTGCACATCCTTGGACACTATGAGCAATTTCGCATGGCCACTCCATCTAACCTGCACATCTTTGGATAATGGGAGGAAACCGGAGCACCCACAGGAAATCCATGTAGTCAAGGAGAGAACATGCAAACTCCAAACTTAAGATAGACACGTTCTGCAGAGGAATATAGACAGGTTAAGTGAGTGGGTAAAGCCTTGGCACATGGAATATAATGTGGAAAATGTGCGATTATGTACCATGGCAAGAAGAATAGTAGAGCTGAATGTTATTTAAATTGAAAAAAGCTGCAAAAAGCTACAGAAAAGAGGGATTTGGGAGTCCTCATCTGTGAATCACGGAAAACTAGTGTCCAAGTTGAATGGGTAATCAAGAAGGCAAATGAAATGTTAGCCTATATTTTGAAAGGAATAGACTATAAAAGTAGGGTTGTTTTGATAAAACTATACAAGGCACTACTTAGACCATTGCTGGAATACTGTGAACAGTTTTGGGCACCTTATCTAAGGAAAGATATACTGGCATTGGAGGCAGTATATCTTTCCTTAGATAAGGTGCCCAAAACTCTTCACATTTGGAGAAGGAGAGGCAATCTTACTGAAATTACCAAGATTCTCAGGAGGCTTGACAGGTTATTCCCCCGTCTGGGGGAGTCCAAGACCAGAGGACATAATCTCACAATAAGGGGTTGCTCATTTAAGACAAGATAGAACATAGAACATAGAACAGTAGAGCACAGTACAGGCCCTTCGGCCCACGATGTTGTACCGAACTTTTACCCTAATCCTAAGGTCTATCTAACCTCCACCCCTACCTAATACTATCATCCATATGCCTATCTAATAGCCACTTAAATGCCCCTAATGAGGCCGACTCCACTACCCTCTCCGGCAATGCATTCCACGCCCCGACCACTCTCTCTGGGTAAAGAACCTACCTCTGACATCTCCCCTATATCTACCTCCACTCACTTTCAAAATCTGTGCCCCCTCGTCATAGCTACCTCCACCCTAGGAAAAAGTCTCTAGCTGTCCACTCTGTCTATACCTCTGATCATTTTGTACACCTCTATCAAGTCACCTCTCAAAGATGAGGAGAAATTTCCTCTGAGGAAAGTGAATCCGTGGAATTCTTTACCACAGTAGGCTGTCGAGGCTGCATCATTAGTATATTCAAGGGTGAGATTGAGACATTTTTTAATCAACAAAAGGAATCAAGAGTTTTATAAGTAAAAGGAAGGAAAGCGGAGTTGAACATTATCAGGTCAGCCATGATCTCATTGAATAGTAGAGCAGATTCAATAGAATTATATAATCCCTACAGTGCAGATAGAGGCCATTTGGCTCATCTAGTATGCACCGACCCTCCAAAAAGCATCCCACCCAGACCCAGTCAATCTCCATAATCTGCATATCTTTGGATAGTGGGAGGAATCCAGAGCACCCATTGGAAGCCCACTTGATTGGCTAAATGGCTTACTTCTGCTTCTATATCTTATGGTCTTATGGATTGTGTAATAACATCACCTTGGACTGAATTTCAACATAGGTTTCTAATTCAACACAGAACTAAGAAATAGGCTAACTGATTTACTGGCCTGCAACATCTTAAAAACGTCTATATCTTACACAGTATTGTGTTTTGCTGGCAAGTACAGCAAATCTACAGATGGCAAAGACCTGAAGCAATAGCTTACATTTGTACAATAACTCCTATCATAAAACACTTTACAACAAAAGATTTCTTTTGAAATACAGTTCTGATTGTGTAATCCTACAGCAGTAACCCACAAACAAGTGAACATATACATTGTTTCAGTTGTGGTCGTTAAGAAAATTAGAATACTGGGAGATCTACCTTCTCTACTTTCAGTAGTGGCATAAAATAGATAACATCCACCTAAATATGTCGATGGGATTCAGGCAGGCAGTCTCGTCAACAGCAGCATTTCCAGCCATGCTGAAACTTTCCATACTACACAGTGTCAGTCTGCACCATTGACCCTCAAATTTTTATATTTGAAGAACACATTTTTGGGTTGGTAATCACAAGCTTCCCATCTAAGCTATAATACTATAAAACGCATATAACATGAAAGTACTGTGTGTAATCAGTGCTTCAGTAATGCTTTCAAAACAAGCACAGACACTTTTGTGCTGCTCTTCACAGACCTGTTGCCTCCTAAAACAACCAACCTACCCTGCCCTGTGCCTGAGATGACTCATACCATCACATTATTTTGTAGACTCTGTGGAAAGTCTTCATGGATCCCCAAAGGTCGACAGTCTGCAGTTTTGAGAGCTTCTGGTCCAGACCATGAGCTCAGCTCTGTAATCGGTTATGAACCGTGACCAATTGAGCCAAGCTGACTCTGGAGAGGTGAAAGATGCCTGTAGTTGAATGTGAACAGTGGTTTTCATGGATTGTGCAGAAACCGGGTGAAGAGTTCAGCCTCCGATTCTGCTGATGTGCCCCAATGGAAAGTATAGATTTGTAAAGGCTGACAGAATCAAGTCTAGTTGTGATGCTGGCCACGATTGAGCCATGTTGTCACTTTCTGTCCAGTCAGTTGAATCTGTGCCTCGGCATGAGGAAACAACTTTAGGAAAAGAAGGAATAAAGTGAGGAGGGGAATAATTAATATTCATCATCAATTCAATATGAATTAAATGCAAACACAAAGTTGAAACTTTTAATATTTAATCTTCAATGCGGAGATGATGGATTTTTCAGCATGAACTGGATATTGTTGTAGAAATACAACCATAAGTAGATTTTTTTTTAAATTAGGTTTTTTTTAATTCACTGATAGGAAAGTGTTTCATAGCCAGTTTCAATGAAGTAGTAATCTGATGATTTGTGGGTATGTTTTAGAGGTTTAAAATCAGCAGTTTTTCTTTCTCAAATGGTGAAATTTAAATGACAGTCTCTGAATAGCATTATATCCTTGGGATGATCATGATATATTCTCCTCAAGCTATAGTATTCAGTTCTTAAAAGTCAGCACGTCATTCCGTCAGTCTCCTTTGTGTGAATTGAATGAGTTGGTCGAATACATAAAGGGCATTAAGCATCACATTTGCTCGCTATGCCAAGTTAAGAGCTATAATAAATTGTAAGCTCATAAAGAATTTGGTAGATCGCAGGAAAACGCAGGTTATGGAAAGCACAGTTCAATGTAAGTAAATATGAAGTAAATGTTTTGGGGAGAAGAACAAAGAATGCAAATATAGCCAATGAGATAAAATTGTCAAATGCAGTGAAGGATCAGCCAGATCTAGGCCACACAATGCCATAGGTAGGTCTTGTGAAAGCAGGAATTCAGTTTTAAAGAAAAGCTTGTAGAGGGAAAATTGGATTCTGGATTTATTGTAGGAAGGTAAGTAGAAGAAACAAGAGTAGGTATTGAATACACAATTGGTGAAGGTGCAGTTGGAATGGTGTACAATTTTGGACACTTGATGATTTAAAAAAAACAATGTAACCATGAAAAATATCAAATATTAGAGCATATCGCCACTCGGAAAAACTGGGATGGTTTCAGCTGGAGTAGAGAAGGTTGAGGGGAAATGTAAGAGAACTGTTAAAACTTTCAGAATTTTTCACAGGAAATGAAAAGTTATTTCCATTGATGAATCATTGAAAAATGGCAAGACTTGAGGATTGGAAATAAAAGAATGAAATGGTAGAGAGCAGGGGTGCGGATGTTAGATTTGCTTTTACAGAAATTTGTTTTGGGTATGGACTATATACCACAAGCAGCATTCAAATCTAAGGCAATCACAATATTTTAGGAAAAAAAGATAATTCAGAAGTATTTATAAAGGTAATAGGAAATAAAATTTACAGTAATATAAACTGAAAATTCTGAGAATATATAGCAGGTCTAGCAGCATTTGTAGAGAAAGAAACAGGTAAATTTAGGTAAATGAACTTTCATTACTCTTTGCTGGAAACAACATCAGCTCTGAAGAAGAGTCATCTGGACTCAACGTTAGCTTGCTCTTTCTCCATGGATGCTGTCTGACCCGTGGTGATCTCCAGCATTTGGTGTTTTTAGTACAGATTTCTCCTACCTTTCTTTACTTCTTGCTGCTTGAACTGCATGTGTTTAGCATTTATAGCTTTTAGATTTCCAGCAAGAGTCATTCTTGTTTTTGCTTTAGTGGTTAAATAGTTCATATGGAATTTGCACTTGAAAAGACAGACAGGTCTCCTTTTGCTGACATTTTTAATCCAGTACAAATAATTTAAAATTTTCTTTAATGGATCAGTAAAAATGCATTTTTTTTTAGTTTGAGCCTGAGTAACAGGGATTGCTCATTTTGATCTCTTCATGATTTTATGTCCAGTGTTAATTTTTTTTTATTTCTTTCCATTTACAGTTACAGTCCAGAATGGGTTTGAGAAAGGTAAGTTTTTATTTTGAATCCATCTTTTATAGAACCTGATTCTACCATGAAAAGCACGACACCTCTGCCTTTTCAAAAGATTTACATTAATCTTGGTACTCAGATGCAGATGGTTGTTTCTTACCAGAAGAGTAAAACTGCTGAAACAGCTGGTTTTCAATTAACTATGAACCTTCAAAATGTACAATGTACTCATTCCCTATAAAAGTTGGATTTGAATTCTATATCAAAATCATATATTTAAATTTTTAACTGAAATACTTAATTGAGAGGCTTGGGTGAAAGCTTGTCGGCTTTATGTAATACCACCCGAAGACCACTATGTAAATAGTTTTAGAAATTTGTCACTGCATCTTTCAGTTGCATGACCATTATCATTGTAATTTATTAATACACTAATTCCTCCTTTAACTTCCTAGTTGTATTCTCAAGATGTTTGTGGACACTCCACCATTGAATAAATTTATGCCTGTTGACAGATTCCTTTGTCAAGGAATCAAGGAATATATTGAGCAGACAAAAAAGTGAAGTCCAAAATCAGCCTGATGGTAGGGTGAATGGCAAAGCATGCCAGATGGTCTACTCTGTTTCTGTGTCTTGTGTTCTAAGGTACTTTATGGGCTATAGGGAACACTGAGCAAAAGTAGGAATGAAGTTGGCAGGTAACTAAAAACAGTCAGAGATTATGGGCTTGATTTTTTTCCTTTTTGAAGCAAGAATTGAGTCGAACGATTTCTCAATGTTACAATCTTGCCCATTAACCCAACAGTGCCAGCCATGCTATTCTCGTGGTGAAATGGCGGGGCTGAGCTGAAGTGCAAGTCATCAAATCTTGAACCAAACACAAGGGAGGAATGGAGGGGAGCAGATGTCAACATGGGCAGTTTAGAAGACCTGCCTCCATTCACTGGGTCATCAGCCCAGTTCTGTACATGAGGATTATGCACACCACTGGTCATCTCTCACCACCACCTCCATTACATTCATCACCAATACCTGCTGTACTCCTGACTCCCCTTCTCCCTTCTGTTCCCCATACCTCCTCTAAACAGCTGATAACTAATGACCCATTATCTGTTGCAAGAGGATTTGAAGATACTCTAAGTGGAGAGTCACTGACAGAAGCAGTCACATTTCACATCACTCTAGAGTTGAGTGTAGACCAACACAGTAAGAAATGTGCAGCTGTGCTCCTGTCTGTATATGTTCTATATAAAGTTATAATAAAGAAGCCAGGTATTTGTTGTATATTATTTATTTTCCTGTGACTCTGTTATCAGTCACAGACTAAAGGACAACTAAAATAACAATATCCATTACATATAGAACTCATAAAACCAATAATAACATTGCTAAGTCCTTGAGTGCTCAAAAAATTTCACATTAAACAAAGAGCCATTCAAAAATCACTTCTTCAAAGCTGAACAGATGAATGTGCTGTCTAAGAGGTTAGCCATCTGTTCAGCTATTCCAGAGACTCACCAGATGGCTGGAATGTGAATCATTCAATTGACATATTTAAATCTGAAACCCAATACTATTCAATGCAACTAAGCAACTTTGTCCATGGTAAAATACTCTAGTGCACCTGGATTCTTTCACAAAACTAACTCTAATGGTCACTTATCTTTTAACAACCAAACCCTATCGTTAGTGACTACAGTAGAAACAAACTTAAATTGTCATAAATATGATGTATGAAGTTAATAACATCTTTTAAAATTATTGTCAAAACTGTCAAGAAGATTTCTGACTCCTGAACAGGCATCCCTCCTGATTCACAATCCTTCGAACTGGTGTCAACCACATCACCTGTAGAAGCTTCTGAAAGTGAACCAACTTGCATGAAAATTATTGAGACTGTCTAAACTCATCACTACACAATTGAGCTGCCAATGTCAGGGGCATTGAGTGTGGAATTGTGCAAGGTCTCTTGGGTGTATGTTTAGTGTAGTCACTAACTAAACTTACGTTTTTGTAAAAGTATGAATGTTGAATAAGGTAGCCTGACTGATTAATGGAAATAAGATTATGCTGGTACATCTCATGCTGTTACTGTCTGGGCTGAGCTTCATAGGCTGATGACTGTTGGCTAGATTGTAGATGAGATTTTAGACACAGTGGCTGACAACAGTTGCAAGATACAGGAAAGACCTCCACCTATGCATATGGGGTCAGTGAATCATGAATGAGGCAGGAATCTGGGCTGAGATTCAGGATTAGTTTGGAGAGCAAGTAGAGTAAATGTCTGACTATTTGATAGGAGAAAGAACAGGAACTATGCTTTGCCATGGGAGAAGTGTGATGGATGGAGCTCACAGCTGGATGTTTCTGAATTGTAACTGCCCTTCAGAAGTGAAAAGACAGCACCCAATTTGAGCATTGCAAACTCCTGCGAACAGCAATGTGATAATGACTGTATAATCCTTTATCAGGGTTAATTGAGGAGTAATCAATGGCTAGGACACTGGCGAGTCTCCCCTGCTCCTCTTCAAAAGTGTATATTGAGATCTTTTACATCCACCTGAGGGGTCAGATAACCTCAATTTAACATCTGATCTGAAAAATGGCACCTCTGATACTGCAGCCCTCCCTCAGTTCTACACTGGCTTGTCAGCCTAAATTGTTGTGCTCAACCCCTGGTGTAGAATTTGAATTCACAACTTTGAGGTGAGTATGTTACCCACTGAATCATATTTGATACAGGCGATACTCTGCTATATTCTGTATCCTGTTGAATAAATTCAATCAAGTTTCTGAAGTTTAGTTCTGTTAAATAGGAAATGATTATTCTAGCCACAGAATGTTATTGATGAATGAGAACATCTTGTAAAAAATAAAAACCAAAAGGAAGGAAAGCAGACAATTATTTGGAAAGATCAAAGTTATATATACAAAATAATTATAAGGAAGCAAGTTAACAGACACCCAGTGCTCATTATTAATGAGTCTCATTTGAACACATCTGCTCAGCAAAAATATATAAAATATGAATAATGAAAGGACTAATCCATATAATTATTTTCTGGTGTTCAAAACAGTATTATACATACAGGTGGAAATTTGACTGCAGGCTGTTTAAAATTGCTGATGAATCTTCCAGATGGATGTATAGATTGAGCTAGTAGTATTTTAAAAATTGGCCCAGAAAAGCCAAACAAAAGAGACTGTGTCTGTGTAAATACAATGTGGGCTGTGTTGAACTTGCTGGCGTACAGCCACGTACTTCCTGTTGACCTCTACCCAACACTGCAACTGGTACCCTGGTAGTAGCTGGTGGCAATGCAAGATCCACGGAGAAGCAGCCAGATACTGAGCACATTTGTAGTCTGTATGCTCTGACACCTTAGTTTTATTTCAGACTAAAATGATTAACAGCTTTTCATGAATTGCTGCCTTAAACCTAGATTAAACAAATTAAAATGTTAGTTTTTAAAACAATGGCATGAAAATTGAGGGAGTATGATTTAATATGGAAAATAACAGGTAGATTTAGTTTTTTTTCATTTAAGTGCTTCCAGAAATAAAGTATTTGGAACAGCAATAAGTTGATATGAAAGATGTCTCAGTTGCCAAGGTTTTACTGAAACAAAGCCATGTATGATTACGACAGCCAATTCCTGCAGACACAACAAGCTTTCATTGAGAGCAGTACCCAAAAACTAGAGCTCTGCATCAAGCATGTTGTCATTTTGATCTTAACAGATGAGCTTTCAGTACTGAATATTCATGCACATCTGCCTTCCTTCTTACATGGAAGCGGAAAAACTGAATTTCATCTTCTGATAATGAATAAGACATTTGATTGGAGAAATGACCATAAACATATTTATCCTAAATGCTGAATTAATAAAATCTTATTTAAAAATTGTTTTTAATGTGCTGAAATGGTTTTTTACTGTCAATGCTGAGTTAGTTTGGCAAGTGATTCTGAATCTAAATTTTGTAAAATTAAACCTGTGCTAAAGAAGAAATGAGCTAATAATCCAGTAGCAGTTTTATGTGATGTGTTGTATGCCCAGATCAAGCACCACAGATCGTTATCCTTTCACCAGTGGGCATGTTTCAGTGTCACACTGCGCAGACTCTCGGCATTCAGATTGAAGGCCAAGAAACTGCATCTGTATGCTGCTGCTCTGCTGCACACCTAGTCTACATACCACAACTGCTCAATAAATATTTCAAGCTCTACAGTCTCTTCCACCTGCCTGTAAGTCAGTGAGCCTGAAATAAAACAAATATTTTAATAAGTAATGGCTACTAGTAAATCTCCTGCAACAAGTTTCATGGTGAATTGGAGGAAAAGCTGTGTTATCAAAGTGTCAGAGGAAGTTAAGTACAACCTTTTGACAAATTTCACACCATGTCTAAGAATGTGTTTTTTTTTCTAGATGATAAACAATTCAGGTCCTGCATACTGCGCCCATATCTGTGGAGGCTGTTCTAACATCTTGTACTCTACGTGCATGTGGAGGGTGGGGGTTGGAAAGTATTCTTTCAGACTCCTGTTTTTTGAGTTCCATGCCATCCCACCTCTTCCCTTCTGTTTTATAAATACCGTTTTGGAATGCTGTTCTAAATGATCCAGTCTTTTATTTTTATGCTTTGTCTCTAATGTCAGATTGTCTTGTTCCGATAACCAGTACTGGATGAGCTGAAATTCCCTCCAGTTGAATATTCGGAAGGGGAAAACCATGCGTTCAGTCATTAAAGTAAACTTAGTTTGCTAGCCATCAACTCAATCCAGCCCCTAGACAATAATCTGAGTCTGAACAAGGCAATTTAAAAATTTGACCTCAAGTTGAGGTGATGACCATACATTCATGCCATCACAAAGATCATCAATTCTCACCTCGGTAACATCACCTGGACTATAGCCCCGGCTCAATTCATTTGCTGAAACCCTCATCAGTGCCGTTATTATTGCTAGACGACTATTTCACTGTACTACATGTCAGCCTTCCTCCGTCTAGCCCACCCCATAATCTTGACGTTACCTAAAACTCTGTTGCCAGTGTCTTTTGCAGCCAACATGCCTTCTAATTTAGTTGTCCCTGTGCAGAGTTCTATGCACAGTATATTTAAAGCAGAGCGTAAATCATATAGTGGAAGGTGACAGAGTATGTGTAGGGTTTCTCGGCCATGCAGCTTACAGGGAACATTACTGTTACCACGTTCTGCTCATTCATCAACCCTCTTGTCTGGTAACTTGCACTGGCTCCCAATTAAGCAATGCCTTGATTTTTAAAATTCTCAAGCATATTTTCAAATTGTGCCTTTGCCTTGTACCTTCCTTTCCCTGTAATGTTCTCCATCCCCATAAGCCTCTGAGGTGTTTAAAGCATTTCTATTTTAAATGCTCCACCACTGGTGACCATACCAATGTCTTAAGTGCTGAAATTCCCTCTCTAAACTTCTCCACCTCCCACCTCTTTTTCTTTCTTTAAGACACTCCTTAAAGCCTAGTTCTTCAACAAAGCTTTTGGTCATCTGACCTAATATCTCCTTACATAGTTTGGAGTCTTGTTTAGTTTTATAAAACTCCCATGAGACACTTCGGAATATTTTAGTTTGGTAATGGTACTGTATACAAATAGTTATTTGTTCAATTTGTAACTACGTCAGTATACACAATTTTCTTCTCCCTGCTTCCTCTGTAGTTGAAATCCAATCTCATAACACAGTCTTTCACTGTAACATTCTTCCTAAAAACCTCAAAGCTAGGCTATCTTACTTTCCTTAGCTATTTTCACTTCCTGTATTCTTCAAACTTTTAAAATTCAACTCTGGCCTTGCCCATTTACTTTTTAAAAGATTTGCTTTGTCATATTACCTATTCCTTTCGGGTTTGTTAGTGTACTCAAATGTGGACTTTGGCTCTTTATTTTTCTGCTGTTGAAAATCAATCGATGAACATTGTATTAATCTTGGGAAAGCAGTTCTATCTTTAAATCTGGCTTGGTGAATAATATTTCTCATTCGTTTGGAAATGAGAAATATAGGTGCAGACTTGATGGGCTGAAAGGCCTTTTTCTGTGCTGTAGCCTTCAGTAATTCTATGACAGTTGACAAATGCACCATTTTTGCACTTTAAACATCTTATCCAGAATTGAGTTGCATAGAAACATAGAAAATAGCAGCTGGAGTAGGCCATTCAGTCCTTTGCTCCCTTTAGCCCTAAGAACTATATCTAACTACTACTTCTTGAAATCATTCAATGTTTTGGCTTCAACAGCTTTCTGTGGCAGAGAATGCTGTAGGCTCACCACTCTTCTTTCTTTCTAATGAAGTAATTTCTCCTTCTCTCAATCCTGAATGGCCTATGCTGTATTCTTAAACTATGACCCCTAGTTCTGGATTCCCCAGTCATCAGGACTGTATTTGTATTTTCCTACTGTTCCAAACTTTTGAAAGAAATTAAGCTACTATTTATTAAATCCCTGGTGATAAAATTAGCAATATGCATTTCTGTCACCAAAGATAACTTAATTCCTTTCAAGCTGATCTCTAGACTGTTAAATATAGGAACGTATGTTCTATTGAGTTACAGTCCACTACACAATGTTTTCCTGTCGTTTTCTGTCACAGTAATCCTAATTGCATCATAAGTACAAGATTACTTTTGCAATTGTTTCAAAGTAGTGGCAGATGTGAAGAAATGAAATTGGTTTGCAACCATTTTATGGTTTTGCCATAAAACTTGTGAATGTGACGACTCATCAACAAAATGCCAAGAAATTTGTTGCTTTAAAAATATATGTTTACTTGCCTATATAACAATGATAACTGCACTTCAAAATCAAAATTGTCATTAGAGTTCACTAACAACGTTTTATAACATTGTGGTTTGAATTTTTGGGAAAATTGCAGTTCCGTAGTCCTAACATGGAAGAAATTGTCTGCATGATCAAGGTTGGCAGGGCATGGATTTTAATGGGAATCAGGCTTGCTGCCCCGGAAAGCCTTTGGAGTCTGTAACAAATGGAGGCATACTGTGGGGAGGGCTTGACTTGATGATCAGAGACTTTGTTGTACCTGTTTTTTACAAAATTATGGAACAAAACAGCCCTCACTCTTCACATTCTCCCCACAAACATAGTCCCTGTGTCCCATCCATCTCATCCTATGTCCCTCTATAGCTCCTATGCCAACTTAAGCCCCTCCACACACCAACAGTCATGGCCATTTGTAGCCCCAGTACAGACTTACTGTTAACTCACTGCTACCTCATGCCAATCCATGACTCCACCATCCTTTGCCCTCACACCCTCCATACCAGTTTGCCAAGTGTCCACTATGGGCAGACTTTGGGAACTGTGCTGAGATGAAATAAAGTTATTCTGTCATTTGATGAATTAATATTTTAAAAGGGCACTAATTTAAAATCAATTTGCTGTCTTTAACTTCCTTCAACTACTTAATATCTTGTGAAAACCAGCACTTGTATTCACTGTCTCACTTCACAGACATTTTAACAAGGAGGGACTGTCAATCAATCAAACAAGCACCCCACTCTGATAAGTTGCGAAAACACAAATCCTAAATGATAGCCCTCAGGCTGTGTCAACAGACTGAAACAGCACGTGCTGATTTTCTTTAAACGCTGCACACAGTATTTTCCCTCCCCCCAAACCATTTAAATATGTGGAGATTTAAATGCCTTGATAGCTCAACAGTTTCCATGATGACTTGACAGTTACGTTGGGCTTATCCATTTTTTAATGCATGTTCATTCCCAAAGGGCACCTTGTCTTTGCTGAAAGTGTTCCTGAATCTCTCCAAAAACTCTTCAAATAATGCCAGTAGTCTCTTTCAAAATTCAATCTGACTGGAGGCAGTTGCAATTTTATATGTGCAGCATCTTCCATGAATCACACATATCCAAAAGCCACCATTTCCTCATCCCCATGGTGGTATCAAAGAGTTTGGGGTGAGCCCTCTGAATTTGAGCTTCCAGCACCATTTTAGCTATGCTGGAGTCACACTCATTCTTGGTGAAAATTTAGACCTGTGTGTAATTTTTTTCTTCTTTTCAGGCCAGAAATATAAAATCAGATTCATACTGAAGTCATCAAAAAGTTTTAGCTGAAATGTGAATATTGTAAAATTTACACTACTTGTCTTTTAATATTAGATGAATCTCAACACTTATTAATTTCTTATCTGTATGTACGGTACTGGCTTCCATCTGTGCTACTTATTGAATGTTTAAAAAATGCTCTTCATTAAGGCTTTCACTTTGCATTGCACATACCCAAGCCTATTAAGAAATGCAAGTTAGGTTGTGTAATATGTTTGATATGTGGCATTAGGTCAGGGACTACCTGAATGAAAATCTGTTCCATTTAATGAACAAAGATTTTGGTAGTCTGTACTCATGGCTGGCTACATAAAAGCTGCTTGTATGGTTCAAATTTAGCCATTTCACCAGAAAGGTGATGACTTAGAAGATGGAAAATTCTTTTAAGTTAGAAGCATGACCAAATATTGGGACACTGCAGAGGAAATTTTCAGTCTAGCCGTGAATATTCTCTGTTTGAGGCAGATATATTAGTGAAGTTTCCAAGGTTAATTCAAGGCTTAGTTTGCTCAGCTTCTGCTCACACAACCTCTGAAACTTCTCAAACCAATCTTTGCTTTCAATAGAGGAACAGGGCATGCTGAGACAAATAATATCTTCGATGCAGATGATTAAGAAACTAAACAAAATGGCTACCATAATTGGAGTCACTACCACCTGGTGAAATTTTAATATAGCCTTTATGAAAGAAAAACACATTTGATTTGGAAATTGACTTGACCAAACACTTGAGAATACAAATATTAGTGTGCTATCCTCGGGTCCTTTGTATTGTTCTCTACTAGCTCAGTATGGTGAACCTTTAGTTTACGTTTACCAATTGCAATGTCAAAACTTGTCCATTAAAAGTCATTTTATTGAGTTCCTCCCTGTATTATTATTGCAAAACCTAAGGTACTGTCCCTGTAGAACAGAACTGAATGACTAATCAACCTTTACATATACAGACTATATTTGATGGCAAATATAGTTACATGTACTTTTTAAATATCTGTTAATAATAGATCTTTTCTTCATCTGGTCTTTATTTTGCAGCTGCGTATCTTGTGGTATTTCACTTATTTTTTGTGATGTTTGTATGGACCTATTGCAAAGCTATTTTCACAGAACCAGCTGAACCCTCCCGAAAGGTAATTAAATTTGAGTGAAATGTGTAGTAACTTTAATTTTTGTACAAAGTTCAAACCTCTTATGGTGTTTACCTTCAACATAAATTATGTAAAGATAACCAGATTGAGTGCACTCATTACCAATGTTTGATATTACAGGCCACTCTACTGCTGAGTGGACGATTGCAGGGTGGGTTCCATAGTCCTTTCAGTGCAATTAGATGCTGATTCTAGTAGTACTATTGAAGGTAGCTGTTCAGAAGGCCATGGAGACCAAGAGTTGTTTTGGACTACCTTTTTCACGTGTTGCATTGAACAGCATTGGCAGAATCCTGACGCAGATTCCTGGCTTGTTTATCAGTTCTAGGATTTAAGGTGAAGGGAGAAAATGTATTCTAAATTTATGGGTGAGTGAATAAACAGCAGGGGGAAGAACTTCTTCTAAACACAAAGCTTGATCCAGTACTGCAAAAAATTCAACTGTTGCAAGCAGTTGTGTGAGGCTTTCTGCTGTGGTAGTTCATAACATAGCCTGTAAAATTCTATAATACTATAAGATCCTTGTAGGTTTATTTGC